ATGGGTCGGGCTTGGGCTTTGAATTTTCTAAAAAAACCCGGCCCGGCCCGATATTTTCTCTCTCCTCTTTAAAGCCCGGCCTGGCCCATTGACGAGCCCTAGATGGGGATGAGATCGGGATAAATGGTGGGTTGGGTTTTTATTGTTTTTTGTTCTTAAAAAAAAAATTACATGTCATGTCAACTCTTATTCTTTAATATTTATTTAATAAATAAACTTTTAATTTGTTGACCGAATTGTTTCTCCATAACTAACAGAAGTTAAACAAATTTGATATAAATTGAGAATTGTCCTTGAATTGCTTTAAATTGAAACTACAATGATAAAATTGACCAAATTAAAATGACAGGAATCAAATTGATAAAAATAACAAACTATAGGAATCAAAAGTGACCTTTTACCTTATAATTATCAACCAAACCAAACCTTTTGGTCTTTTGACAAATAAGACAGGTTTTTTTTTGGGTCGAAGGTTAGCCGCCTTTTGGTATAAAAGTCTCATTTGGAAAGAACTTTTTTTTGGTTGAATTCAAAATTGTAAACCACAAGCAAGGATGGCAATAGGTCGAATTGAGGGTGGGTGTGCAATCCTTATTTCCATTCCAATTAAGCATTTTTTATCCATTCCCGCCTTCATACCCGCAATATTCATATTGGGGATTCCCTATCCCCACCTTCGTTAGGGAATGAGTTCCCCGACCTGCCCCAGTATGAAAGAAAAAACCAATATAAAACTACTTTTTAGGTCGTCATTGAAAAATTGTTTTTGCAAATTTTCACTCAAGTTGCAAAGCATTTAGTTATCTAACTGTGGCTAAATAAATAGACGAACACAATATTTTCAATAACAAAAAAATGGTCACGGTAATAATTATGTGGCTAAGCTATTTTCGATTTGTATGAAATTTTATATGAATGATACTTGAATGAGCACCTAAATATTGAACTGGTTTGGATTATGAAATTACATGGTTGAGTAATTAACACTGTATTAACTAACTAGTTAGTTATATTTACATGTGTGTGTGTGTGGGATTTCCTATTAAATCAAATAAACGTTGTAAACCTAATTAAGGGTCCTCCTTTCTTGTAAACAAACGTTATTAGGCTTGACTATTTACCACTTGTGTTATGGTAGTTATAGCTTTGCTCTATGGGTGAGAAGGCCTTTCGCTAGCATCCACACTGTTTATGTTATTTCCATTATAGCCGCGCAACACTGAATAATGAAGGAAACCATATTATTATTGGTGCTTAAAATTCAAGATTGCTGCTTCTCAGGTTGTATATGAACTCTTGTATGGCACTTAAAGTTAATTACCAGAGCCGGTTATGGGTTTTCTATGGTTCAGGGCAAATTTTCTCAAGTGTGCCCCTTTATACAAATTAAAGAATTTACAAAAAGAAAAAAGAAAAAAAGAGGAAGAACACTTTGAAGCGACATTGGAGAAAATCACTGGGACAATTCTTCTTTATATGGATGGAGTTTCTGTAGGTGACAAAAGAAGGTAGTTGGCGAGGATCATCTTTGTGGGGGGTAAAAATCTTTTGTAGGTGACAATTATTGATGATGTAGACTTAGTTCATGTTATTTAAATGTGCATCACGTGATTAATTGATAAGACATTGCTTATATGAAAATGAAAGCCTTAAAATATTTCAGATCAAGATTTGCGGCATAATTGAATTTAAAAAATAAAAATAAAAAAAAGCCACACAAAAGAATCCAAACATAATATATTTAATAAACTAGCCACTTGCAATTAGAAAATAGTAATAGCCATGTTGTTGTTGTTTTACAAATAGATAAATATAAAGATCTAATTACAATATAGGTATTTATTAGAGGTGCATGGGCTGGTGTCATCGGATCTGAAAAAAGTATGAATCCAAAGCTTAAGCCATTATTAATTATAATATTAATAGCACATTAGTACTAAAAATAATCTTCTTTTTTTATTAGTGAAAGCGATAATATTTTATTGAAAGATAATAAATAACTATCTCAGTCGTCGGACTAATTAAGTAGCCTGACGGCTAACTAAGTACTATTAATAATAATTTTAAGATAAGAAGATGCACCCATTTGTTGTTTGCAATAGGTTACGTTGTCTATTGTACATGTCAATTTTGATAGGCAGAGTGCAATTTGGTGCCATACATTTAGAGCCAGAATGTTACGCAAGTAGGCACCATCGCTGTCCAGCCAAAGAAAAATATACTCACGGAAATAGGACCTTTCGCAGCCACCTTGTAGGCGGTGTGTAATTCTTGATGCGTTTTTTTTTTTTTTTTTTTTTTAAAGTTTCGTGATCCTCTGGGATTTGGTAAATCATACACAAAACCCACCTAAAGACTCACGAGACTGAAATTAATTAACTAAATCAAGACATGATGACCCACAAATTGAAAGAGCATGGCAAATTGTTCATGTCATGTGGTTAAGGTTAAGTTCCAACTGCGAAGTTTGCTTCATCATGTGACGTAATATAATTATTTGACATTCAACTTTGATGGCTGGAAGGATAGTGATACGATTTTCTGAATGCTCATTTGTATCGATCCCCACAACCCATCATTTTCTTGCTTCTCAAACACAAATGGTCATCAAAGCCAGAGCCAATCTCCAACCATCCCTTTTGGGCCAGAATGCAAAAAAGACCAATTAAATTATGAAATACAATTTTAAGAATTATCTTGCATGATTTAGAGTTTTATTTATTTATTTAATACAAGCGATATTAGGGAAAGGGGGAAATCAGACTTGGGAACTCGAATGTAGGGATACATGTTCTTAACTACTTGAGCTCTTTCCCCCTTTATGCATATAATGCAGTTATGGATCACAGAGCATAGCATCCTAGCAACAACGGGGAAATGAAAGGAAAACCTAATCAGAAGCTTACCAAAATCACCATATAGAATTATCAAGAAAACTCATAAACAAATTTATAGATTATTAATTTGTCACAACATCATTCTTTTATCAAACTACGTCAAGAAAAGGGGCTGACCAATGCCAGCTTCCCCTTGCTACTTCCACTGGAGCTTTTCTGCCTGGTGTAATAAAGGCAAACAAGTTCCAGTAGAAGTAGCAAAAGGAAGCATAAAGCATTGGAGAGACTAAGCTAGGTAAGAGAAACTACAAAAGGACACTTATTGCAAGAACCCTAAAAAAAAATTGGCTGACTTTGTCAAGCTCAAAATATTCTGGTTTTTTACAAGTTGTACAGCTTTGATAAGGTACGAGAACTCCAAACACTGTCTCTCTGAGATGAGTCACTGCCCGTTGTATAGTTAGAGAAGCAAACTTCATGTATACTAACTTTATCAGTCAGCTGCCCAACAACCTAACCTTGAACCAAAATTACCTAAGGTAGAAAGCAGGCTTCAGATTCTACAATCCACAGGTAAATCAAGATGACTTCACATCAATGGTCCATTTTGAAGACCTTATTTCCCCAATCTACACCCACTGTACATGCTTGGACACCAGAACATATACATGCATAAGAACCAGCTTACTCAGGTAAATGGTTCATCCATTTTGACCGGTAGCTTTTCGCCCTTTCAGGAGCTACAATCTCGAGAGCACCCAGTACACATTTGTGGTACGAAAAATCTTCTTCTGTCCTGTCTATTCGTACCAACATAAAGCAACGTGCATTCTCATGCTTCGGGTGTTGCCCAACCTATAAAATATGAGAAAGAAAACCATCATGGAACTGTATAGGGGCAAAAGGATGGAATAATTTATTTATATCTTATGTAGAAATTATGCTAACAACGGCCATATATTTATCAAATAATTTCTCTCTAAGTTGCCTTGTCTTATCCATTGGCAATGGAATAATTTATTTATATCTTATGTAGAAATTATGCTAACGGCCATATATTTATCAAATAATTTCTCTCTAAGTTGCCTTGTCTTATCCATTGGCGCTTAAGATGCATTGCCTGGAAAATGGCAATGCTCTGAATCTTTACATTTAAGAACCGCCAACAGATAAATGTATTTGGCAAGCAATGTTCACATTATCAAGCAATTAATATCCGTAAGATTGGCTAAACATACATATGGACACCTAAATCTAGTTGAACGCTCAAAGCAGACCAAAAAAGAATGTTTCTTTTTCCAAGTACCTTGCACCATGAAACAAATGTATAGACAAATTCAAACTTAAGGTTCACACCAAATCAATGATACTTTTCTTTTTTCAATATAATGTACCTTTATGTCTTGAACTCCACTTCCCATCTTATCAACTTTGTGAGGATGAAAATGTAATGCCATCTTCAAGATTGACTTGTCCCCTTCAGTTAAACTTTCATTGATGTCATACCTACATCACACAAAATACATACATATGAGCAACTCCACTTTTTTCCTTCTTTCATTTGAAACCGCTGGATTAAATATAATTCAGTGTTAATATGAGGTATGCTCTTAAAGATTGCAAGTTGGCAAACAACTTCATGGGGGTTAACTTACTTGCGCAAAATACGCTTCAATGTCTGAGTCCACTTCTGAATATCGTTGATAGTCAAATACTTTCTTATGACTGATTTGAAGACGTTCTCTGACTTCTCAAGCCCAATAGATGTTACATCACATTTGTCTAGTGTATTATTGTTCCAAGCTTTAGACGTCTCAAATGCATTCTCACTACTGGAACTAATTTGGCTGCCCAGTAGGTCGTAAGGATTTAATGGCTTTGATAGATTGAGTCCCTGATGATAAAGGAAGGGTTTGAGAACTATAAAGACAAAGTATCCATATGAAGAAATTGAAAAGATAGATTGATACAGAGAAAGTGCTAAATTAGATAGTATGTTGCTTTATCGTGTTAAAGCAAATTGGGGGACTAAAATATAACATAAAAATGAAGATTATTAACATGAATACTCAGCAAAGCATGCCATCAAGGCCTCAATAGAAGATGTTTAGCATCACTGGGAAATAGAAAATTAAGGCATCAAACTAAATTACTGAAACCCTTAATTTCAACCATAGTTAAAACTCTAGAAGTTTGGATAACTTCACAAAGTCCAAAAAAGCAATGCATAATTCATTAGTCATCATTAAAATGCGAAGAATGGACGTGAAAATAAAGCTAGGTGTCACTTTAACAAGGCATATGGTTTTATAGATCAAGGATTCTGATTGGAATAATAGACAAGAAATTTAGAGATTAACAAATTGTTTTCAAGATGTGATTATACTGTGTAATAAATAGCTCAAAATTATACCCTATTATCCTCTGCTTTTCTTGAACCCAGGCCAGAAATACAAAAAATAAAAAAATAAAAAAAGATCCTCAAGACGCCTTAGTCAGCAGAGCTGCTTGATTTTTCACAATTAATTATAGCATAAAAATAGTAAGATTATACCCTAATATCCTCTGCTTTTCTTGAACCCAGGCCAGAAATACAAAAATAAAAAATAAAAAAATAGTTCCTCAAGGCGCCTTAGTTGGCGGAGCTGCTTGATTTTTCACAATTAATTATAGCATAAAAATAGTAAGAAGAGTCTAAAATCTACCTCCTTAGAATATAATATGTCGAACTGTCTGCCAGTCCCTGAAGGAGGAGTATTTCCCCATGCCAATGCTTCCACACTCCCATGAAGTTCATCCACAACTCCACCCTTGGCAGCTTTTATAAAGCAAGCACCAGGACTCTACACGAAATTCCAGAATGATTCCATGAATTATATGGCTAAAAGTGGCCTTATTTAAACAAAATCAAAAATTACATAGATGAAAAAAAATAAGCATGGTACTAACTGAAAAACACGCTTGTACGAATGGCGAGGATACAGATGCGTGTCCTTTCTGTTGGGCAATGCCTTTGGCATTCAACCCAACAAACTCGCCGGTTGCTGACAAACAATCAGCTACAAGAATCAAATGTTGAGGAAGTATGTCCTTTCCAATGTCATTGGCTGCGGTCTCTAAATTCTGCACTTGAAAATGCATTAAAGTAATAAATATATGAACATATCTCATTAAATGTTTTCAAAGGAAAGCAAATAAACAGAGGAAACTCACATTGAGAAAATATTTCCACCCAGCATCTATTCCATACGCTATACAATAATCATGGACATTATCTGGATGACTTCGTGACCAATCAATCAAATTCATAATCTGGAGACAGTTATCCATAAGCATACTCCAAAGCCTTCTCCTGCCAGTCTTTCCCGACATAGAAACCCTTAAGTAGAGTTCACCAGAAGAACCATGAATCTTTTTTGATTCCCTGGGGTGGTCATTCCATAAAATATCCACCTTTTTCACCTCCAGGAATCCTAAGGGACAAAAAGAATGAGCACAACCACAAGAAGGGCAAGTCTGTACATAGTATGTTTAAGAAATTCTAGACTATATCCTCACCAATTTCTTCAAGATTCAACCATATAATGTCCACACAAAAAGTACTGCAGTTGCTAAAAAAAATTATACAGAACAGCTATGCTTTGAAGATAGTTCTATTTTCTCCAAGAGCCTAAATGTTTCAAATAAAACCCAAGCGTTAAGTGATGCATGCCCTAGAATGGCCTCAAATTTTTAAAAAAGATTTTAGATTAATTTTTTTCCTATGAAACTTTTCTAGAGGCAGAGGCATTTCCTGTCATTTTCACCAACAAATGATGCATTTAGAGAAATATAACTAAATTCATGCAAGTTATCAAGTATGAAAATATGTAAATGTAAAGCAGGATGAAGAGGATCCTTGGTGCACAGCCAACCTTTAACAACTGTTCCAAGAAGGAAAGGTATCACCAAGTCTCGAGCTATATCCAGCTGTTCAGAAGAATTTTTGGAGTTTTCAGGCATAGTGACAGTGATGCAAAATGTATCGTCATCTCCATTGCATGTCTGAGCCGCAGAACAACCCCTGCACCATTTATCGGCCAAGTTAAATGGGCCAGTGAAGCTCCATGAGATGGATTCAGTTTTAAGACATCGAAATTGCACTAGTATTGTTACAAATAGGTGTGGCTAATTCAACTCCAGATCATGCCTAGATTAGGTATCTTGAGAAGTATTGGTTTCTGCCTAATGTGAGGCAAGATGGAGAGGGCATGTTGCTTATGGCCAATGGATAATCATGGGACAACATTGTGCACACCATAAATTGATGTTCCATGATAGGATCTTAGTCTCCATTGAAGATTACTTTAATTGAATGCCTTTATTTGGGGACATTACTAAAGAATCCTTTCAAGGTTCCAGTAGTGCTAGATGTGTGAGCATATGTTCAGATCACTTATTGTCATACACTATTGTATAAAACAGCTTAGATAGCATTAAACTTTATGGTACTTGGCAGAAAAATGTTATCTTAACAAATTTCAGAACATGCATTAAGAAAAATAAAGAAAACACAATAATGCAATTTGGGATGAGCTTATATCACATATCTTTCTTTTAATATCAGATAAATTACCTCTTTGAAAATGGCAAAAAAGAAGTTATCCTAACTGAAATTTAGAATCATTCATAATTCTATTTAGTGGTTCCAGCTAGTTAGAGGATTGTCAGGGGCCTGCATCCTCTGAAGATATCATTGATTGGTACAAAAGTCATACAACCATTAAATGAGGATGGCATTTGTCTTCAGGAAACGTGTGCATCCTAGTATCTCAAATCTAAGCAGTAACACAGAAGGAATCCATACAAAAACTATAAATGCCACCCAGTTGTAAAAGCAAGTAAAAGACCTAGAAAATCAACAGCTTACTTGCTTGTAATCAGCAAACTGCGAAGAACAACTTTTAATTCAGGTCTGGCTGAATTGCACCTTGCATAAAGGGAATCAACAACGGAATGCACCTTCAGCCTCCTTTTCCTCACAATTTCCTGAATGGAAACAATGTTATACCATATAATGGAGCAAGTAAAAACTGAACAATCTTAAGCATTACAGTTTATACTACCTTGCATATATGAAAGTGGGTAACCCATGGGCTGAAACGCTTTTGGCTATTATTTTGTGAGGAGAAGCTGATATCCACATAATACAGCAGTTAAAAAATGTAAAATATTATATATATATATATATATATATACATATATAACAGAAAAGGAGAAGAAAAAAAAAAAGCAGATGGAAATGAGGGGTATCTAACATTATCATGACAGTAGAAACAATGTCGGAAAATGTCAGTCCCACCAAATGATTCTTCACTTCTAAGGCTCCATACTCAAAACCATGCCTCCGTCTTCCAAGCTTCTCGGATAAAAATAGAGACATAGTTTGCTTAGCACTACTTTTCTTTGAACCACATTCCAAGATGTTCTGTACAATTAAATCAGCTCAGAAAAGTCAGGTATTTCCAATGACAGTACAGTTGAATCAGTGTTGATAAATTGTCATTTTCTATGTTGTCATATGTAACTAAAAATAACACACTCCGGGAAAAAAAAAATAAAGCAATTAATAAACTAACCGTTGAAAAAGAGAAGGGATAGAATAATTTGCTTCAGAAAAGGAGACCTAACTGTTGTCTTTCTCCTAGTGTATGCAGATAATTTATTTGTTCACTGTCCAGTAGCTTATAATTGTGGTTTTTATTATTCAAAGAGACTGGAAGGAGTTGAGTAATTCCAGAAGTCCCATTCATTGCTTAGTGAATGTTTTGTTGCTTTTGGTAGAGGTAAGAAGGCTAGTGTGTTGTGGGGTTGCTGCAGGATGGCTGTTTTGTGGGTGATACGGATGGATAAGAACAGGAGGATTTTTTTTGTTTTTTTGACAAATTTAAGGGGGAAGGGGGTAGAAGAGCTTTGGGTGAGAGCAAAGGTTGTTGTCGTCTCTTTGTTCTTCAGTGTCATCAGAGTTCAGGGATCTAACATTCTTTTCTATTTTGCTAAACTGGAAGGCTGCTATAGGATAACTTGGTTGTTTTAGTTTTTGGTTGTCATTCTCTTGTATAGAGCTGCTATTTGATTCTTGGTGGATTTCTTGTTCACCCACTTTATGTACTTTTGTTTGAATAAATTTTGTTTCTTCTCAAAAGAAAAAAAAGGGATACATATACGCACAAGGGGGGAGGAAGCACCTTCAGATTTAGCAGTGGAGAAGTTTCAAGAAGACTAACTGGTTGATCTAAAGCACTGTATGCAGCTTCAGATAGGGCACAAGCAGACAATGAGCCGACAGGTTGGCCACCTATACCATCACAAGCAGTAGTACTCTTGGCATATGAGGTACTGGTGCTATCTGATTTGTCCATATCAATATCATAGGAGAACTGAACAAGCTGGTTCCCATATGCATTTCTCACCGTTCCATCATAAGCTGTGTACAAATCCCGCATTAAAAACATTAGCTTTCGAGTCAAAGTCCCTGGAAGATCAGCATTACCACTAAAAGAACTATCTCGACTTGTTACGGAATGAACAAAACATTCTAACGGATTTAAGCCTGTCAAGAAAGAGCTTTCAACCACGGCAGATGGGATGTAGGACTCAACACATTCATAAGTTCCCTCAACCTTCTGAATTAAACTGCATGCCTTTTGATTATTCCATGCAGCACATGAGAGCTGGTTGGGAATTCTGAATGATAATGGAATCAGTGAGTGTTGCAAACCAAGGCACATACTGTGCTGAACTAATTTCTGCAAATTACCCTTGCTTCCAGCCTTCAGCATAGTCAGCAAAGAGTTGTCCTTACCAGCATATTTGTGTGCTAAACTTTGAATATCCCGAAAAATGTGCTTGAAAGCATCATGAACAACCTGACTAAGGGCAGCAGATTTCTGCTTCTCATGACAAAAGTATTCTGCATCAAAAGTCAGAGGACTTCGATTCTCTTCTGCACATCCCATGAGAAATTCCTGACAATTATCCACCAACAACTGTTTAAATATACAAGCCTGTTCCGCTTCTTGCAACCCACATGAAATTTCCTCCATCAAATTATTCCTTGAACCTGAGTCAGAAGCGAGGTACAGGTCCGCGAGAGAGACACTCAAGCCCCTCATTGACAACCACTCACAAAGAACTTCCTGAGCAGCAAACAAGAAGTCAAGTACCTGACCCTGGAAATGATTAACAAGGCTCTGAAAAAGATTGCCACCTGTGTCTCGCAACCAAGAAGAACCTTCAGAAGATAACAGCTCCCCATTTTTAATATAAACACCATCTGAAGCAAAATCGTAATCAAAATCTGAAGGTAGAAGCATGCTGAATACTTGCTTTCCAGTCCAAGCATGGCTATTAAGTGAGGGTGCTTTAATAACTGCTGGTGATGGCAGTACATCCCAGCAGAACATTTCCAACTGTTGCATTTCAAGTAGATTCAAGAGAGTGCCATCCTCCATGATCAAATGGGCTGCAGTTAAGCTATCCTGACTAAGTGAGAGCAGGTTCCTACCACTCTGCCCATTAATCAATTGCTTATCTAAAGCAACAAGCTCTCGAAGCTCAACTCTGGCATCATTTGATTGAGGAATATAACCATGAAGGCAATCACCATCAAAATCACCACGAAAAGGAGAGCAACAAAGTGGGTTTATTGATACAACAGAGGTTATTGGAAGGATCTTGACGGATAAAGCTATCAGGGAGTGTTGATGTATTGATGGAGGCCTATTTATCAGCACAATATCTCCATCACTCAAAGGCCGGTAAATAGTATCTCCCATCTGCAATTCATCTGTTCGGCGTACCCAAACCAGACTACCTTTTCTACGCACATGCATCTCACCTTTCACCATAAGGCGTAGATTGCAGGAGGCATCCAACTTTTCGATGTTCCATCTGTTCAGATTCTCAGAAATCTGCAACCTCTCTGCAATTTGACATGGTATGCCAATTTCACTGAGCTTGATGTTTGGATCACCAACAACAACTGTGCGGAAACAGTGGTCACTTCGCTTCCCTAGAACAACATCTTTGATCCATCTCAAGCCAGATGTTTTTGAAGGATCGTCTTTAATATTTTTTTGCTGAGCAGAAATAAAATCTTTGCTTGGTTTTTCTGAGTTTAGCTGCATGTTAGAAGTATGACCATAAGCAAGAACAGTATTGCCTTATCTACACAAACACAGGGAAAGAAAGAAAAAAAACTGAGTTGCTTGCCTTGGAAATTTTCAGGCAGTCCAAAACACGAGAACCCAACTCATTAGCTACACCTTTGAAATCAACAAGCTTTCTATAAGCCCTGGTCCGTTCATCCTACACATTCGTACAAGCAGACATAAGAGGAAAGCAAAAACAAAAGTCATGAATTATTTGGTAATATATTAACTAAATCAACAAAAACAAGTACAGAAGTGAAAAAGACTCACAAACATCAACCGCTGCCCATTAGAAAAAGAATGCATAACTTCTGTCACACGATGACAATTTGGAGTTACAAGGAAAGAACCCATAAAAAGTGAGTTTGTCTTTGGTACAATCTTTTCAATGAATTTTGGATCAACATCCTTCAACAAATAATGAACCTGAAAGCCAGAAAGAGAGCATCATGTTTATAAAATATCTGTATAAGAACTAGAACGTGCAGCACTAATGTTATGCCCATCTGCTTGATATTAAAAAAAATGGTACTCTAGAGAGAGAGAGAGAGAGAGAGAGAGAGAGAGAAACTTGAACAAGTATGGTTTGGAAATGAATGAAGAGAAAAGGGAAAAAACTGAAATACTCTACTTGGTTTGCAACATCTTTTAACTAAATGATTAGATGATGTGTTAATATCAAGTGCAAAGTTGAAGTCTTGAAGCAGCATTATTGAATAACCATTAGCAACAGTGTGACCATTACAAAGAGAACAAAAATTATTTCTTGCATTTGTAATCTGGAGATAGATTGGTATGTTTACTTCAGAGGTTCATATGGAAAAAACTGTGTTATAACATTTAGTTAAGATGCAGATCTCCCATAAATTTGATTTTAAACCTACATTGCTTGCTTAAGCATTCCAGAGAAAAAATGAACTTGGGTTTTTATTTCTTACAAGGAATAATATCTTAAGGAAGAGCACCTGATATAATAACAAACAAGTCAAGAACTTGATAATTCTGTATCCTAACGGTATACCTAAATGCTCTAAAATATACTCCACCAAACAAAGATGCAGGTGTGCATGCGTGCATGCATAACATACATTTATGTAGGTTTGCATAGGTACACATCATGCAAATGCATGCGTCTAACTGATTTCGGAGTTTGATGAATTAAAGAAGAAAACAAAATCTGAATTATTTAAAGAAACTTTATGATTCAAACAACATAAAAATATGCACATCAATGTTATTTTATAAGGTCATCCAATTAACACATGCATATATAAAAAGGCCAAGATACCTGAGCGTGAGATAGAACTCTTTTGTTTGGTTTCATGCAACTTTCATCTTGCTGTGCATCTTTTGGAATAAAGTCCCAATAGTCAGCAGGTAATATTCCATTTGCTTCCGCAATTATTGCACTTCTTTTAAAGAGCTCTCTCGTAGAAACTTTGAATTTCATTCTTGGAAAATTTATCGAACTTCCCTATTAATGGAAAAGTTCAATGAAACTACAATGGTGCAGAAAGAAATTTAACTAAAAGAGACAAGCAAACTCACAATACAATATTTGCAACCCTTGAGCTTCCTATGACCAATTACAGAACCAGCACCCTGATACATGCATAATAGGAGATAATAAATAAGTGATTAAATAAATACTATCAACAACAAACAGACAACAGGCACTCTTGCATGGCTTAGAGTAAATTTCATATAACAACAGCATATATCAACATTTATGATATGTAGCCATCACCTCTGAATGGTGTTTTCAAACGTATCATGATACATTTTCCAACATTTTTTATTATAAGAAATCCCCTTTAACCTTGAGTAATTTCAACAAACTCCACAACAATATTCAAAAGTGACCAAAAAAATCGCCTTTAACCATTTAACTATTAAGGAATATAAATTGCCACAAATGTTCAATAGGGATAAATTACAAGTCACATTTATTCGACAATCTCAAGGATCAACATGAAGAGTGCGGTAACTGACCTTGGCCCTTAGATTTTGCCTGATAGATTTACATCCTGGGCAAATCTTGTTTAAAATTTGGGCAACTTCCGAAAGATAATAGGGATGGAGAATCGTGCATGGAAACTTGATATCCCCAAAATGACCTAGAAATTAGAATAATTTATCAAAACCAATTCCAATGCTGGTAACAAAGATGACTCATCAGGAACTACGTTAAATGTCCATCCACACCTTCACAGCATTTTAATTTTTCAGCACCACAAGTAGAGCACTGAAAAGATGGATTCGGAAGTCCCAACTTAGGATCAGTGACCTCAGTGACTGCATCAATTTGTTTAACAGATATATTCTCCTGTTACAGAATTACAATATTAAAACAAAAAATTATCTGATATAGCAAATGCATCACGCTGTATTTGAACTATGAAACTAATAACCCCTTCACACTTATACTGATTGACACATATTAATCACATGCTAAAATGTTCAAAAACAACATTCCAGAAGTAGAATCCGTGCATTATGAATGCCTATGAATATGAATAATGCTGGACAACATAAAAATGGAAGTGGAAGGCATCATATGGTAAGAGTTTCACTGTCAATGCAGCTTAATGAGATGATAACATAGTTCAGAGGCTTTCTCCAATGTCCTTATTGTAATTAAAGTAAAGACATACTATTTCTGGGCTGTAATCCTATGATCAGAACCGTTCAGGTTTTAGGTTCTCTTTCAAATATTATGCATGCAAAAAGTCAAATAAATCAGAAACTGTTTAGCCATTTGATTATCCACTTTTTCATTTCAGTTTTATCTAACGAACTGCGTTTGTTTGCACATTTTAGATGACCAAACAACTTCCAATCAAGTGTAGAAAGAACAAGAAAACAAGCTTATAATCTTAAAACAAAATACAATTTTTTTGGAAAAGGGTTTGTCATCAAGTTAAGTTGTATTCGTACTCTTATTTGGTGTCCAAATTATGTTTGTCATCAATTTAAGTTGTATTCATACTCTTATTTAATGCCTTCAACTTTCGTTTTAATGTAATAATCCTGCTTGTGGAAGAATAGATGTGTGTGTGCGTGTGTCAATTTTCTTCCAATATATTTTCTCTTTTCGGACCAACAAAAGAAAATACATCTAAGGAAGCACTCAAGATAGGGAAAAATGCTTACTATATCTTCCTGAGTTGAAACATTTAGATGTATGCCAGTTATGAGACCAGATGGCACTCCTTCTTCTTCATACAATTCATTGTCCATGGGGCTTGATTAACTTTATAATTACAAAAAAGAAAGTTGTGAACCTGCATAGATAGCCAAGAGCGTTAAACAAAGACAAGTAGATAAGAAAAAGAAAATGTAAATAACCATAAAAGTTTACTAATAAGGAAAAAAGGCTTAATGTGGAAATGCATAGAAACCCCACCAAATCCCCTTTGTCCCTAACTCTGTATTCCAATACTTCTACACGTAGTTTAGGTACTAACAGTGTGTTCATTCACAAGTCAACTGCGAGGGGGAGTTTTTCGAGAAATAAAAGCTGATGTCAATAAACAGGCGCTTCAGTGGTCTACACACCATGTACTTCACAATTTGCAAAAAATATTTTCAATGCTACTGTTTTGCACCTAGGATATATAGATATAGCAGTAATTGGAGAAAGTATAACCAGCATTCTAGGAAAATGATGATGGCACTGATCCAATTTGGAATTATCCTGTCAGAAACGTATATGTGGGAAACATATAGCAATCCTTAAAACAGTTAAGAAGCGAACATCAATAAATAATTTGGTCTGCTTTGCAGACGCATTCCTATTAGGGGGGAAACAAGTTGCACAGACAAATTAAATTGGATAGCATCCATGTCAGACACGAAATTGAATAGAATCTTATATAATGCACTGAAAAAAGAAAAAACAAAAAAAGAGAAATAACAGCTGCATGCAAATATATTCTTTTAAAACACCATGCTTACGAGTTCATGGCTCATGAGCAGCATTTAGCATTACATCATCAATGCATAGATGCTAATTTAAAAAAAATTGCTGGGCACTCAAACTCCTAGACATGTCCAAGTCCAGCACTACACAATGTGTCATGGAACACTCAAAAAACGAAAAACACGTGGAATTAGTAGCACACTCAGATAATCAGTTGGATAACAATTGCAACCACCAATGAACCGACACAACGCACATCCTGTTTGGTAACCAAACCATAATAAATAAACTATTGATCAGATAAAAGACAGATCATGCATAAAATTCTATTTTTAATATGTTCAGAAGAATGCATTACAAAAACTATGACACCGGTAGCATGGTAAGGATCATTGTAACCTCACAAAACATTACCCTAAAGAAAAAATAATAATTGATCAGAACATTGACCACATACGATCATTAACCTATAAGCGATAGCAGCACAGAATACCTTGCTTTCAGTAGCTTATATGTATTAGGCACCAGTGACTGTATCACAAATCCAGCAACCAGTGACTGTATTAGGCACCCTAAAATCTAGCATTCTATCAATGAATCTTAAAAAGAACCTGAACTTGGCTATCAAATAGGGTTGGTTTTCCCTACTTTTTGAATCTGACTCTGAATGTGCAGTGTCTCTCTACTAACCCTGATCATCCTCTCAAAAGCTTGCTCATGAGATGTAGGGAGATGATGAGAAACAATGATTGCAAGCTAAGCCACATATACACGGAGAGAGAGAGAGAGAGAGAGAGAGAAGTTGTGTTGCTGAAAGTTTAGCCACTCTTGGCCTAAGCATGAATTTGGGGTGCACTATATTGGATTCTCCTCCTAGATAGATAGGAAAACTCCTGTTTGAGGATATGTGTAGGGTGCTTAGACCAGAATAGTTGAATTTTTCTTTTGTTTGGGCTTTGGCCCTCCTTAGTACCAAACAACAACAACAATTTTTTTACAAATAACATAAGATTTCAATCCACATTGTGCCAAGGTTCATTGTTTTCCCCCTCCCCCATGATCAAACACAACATGCAGAGCACCAAAGGAAAATTTCCAATGCACATTGCCAAAACCATTAAATTCCACACAAAAAACCCATAACCCATGATGTAGAAAAGGCAAGAGAGCACCTAAATCACCCCAAAGAAAAAATAATCAAACTTGTATAAAAGAAGAAGAAAAAGAAAAAACCAACAAAGTTGATAAGATAAACAGACTGGCACTAAAAAACCATGAAAAAGAACATGATCATCCACAGACAAACATGTAGCAGCAATCCCGTAATAAACCATGAACACAACTCTAAAAAGTTTTAAAAATTTCACCGGCTTTTTCTGGAAAAGAATGTGGTCTTTATATTTCAGCAGAGGCGCCTCGGTCGGGGCGAGTGAAGCAGAGAGAGGGCAAGCAAAACTGAACCCAATGGTTTGCTCTGGAACTCAAGAAGGCACCAAAAATAGCTGTGCCAACAGAGCCAAGAGCAAACAAGGCAAGAAAGCGATGCAGGGGAGAGGACGAAAAACGCTTAGCTTACTCTATTCAGAAACGCCGCCGGTTCTCTTCAACCAACCAAAAGACACAACGCCGAGTTCAAGGACCTTGAAGGAGACCGAGGCCGACTGAGAGGTTTTTGGCTTTCTGTCAGATAACAAGCCCAACGTTTTCTCAGTGAATTACCACACTGACCATGTTCTTTTATAAACCACTATGCTTCACTATCTGACAGCAAAGACCCGTGGGAAGTTACCATTGAAGTCAATTTGTTTTGGGCCAAATTCCTAAAAGGTGAGGATTTAGATTGAATAGTAATCTTGAGTTTACTTTATTTTTAATTTTAAGTCAGGGTATTACGAATTTAAGAGTTTCTCGCAATGGCATGATTTATGGTTTAAGGTTTAGGGTTTAGTAGCATAACTCGAACTTTAAGCATGACTTTTGAATTTGTGATGCAATATTATTAGGGTTAAATTATGCTGAAATTGGTGGATCATTCGTTATAGGTTTTCTTTTATTATTAACGGTTTTCCATTTTCTATGTCGGATTTCGCATTTGGAAGTTTTCGGTTTCTGAACAAGCGTCCGACTCTTCGCATGAAGTCAATTAGGCATGTATCTCGAAGTTAGTATATTCGTTGACCAAATTAAGATCATTTCACATGTCTAACACACATAATTCAAGTGCGGCATGTGTTTTGAAGTGAATATATTTTCTTGACAAAGATTATCGAATATGTTTGGCATTTGTGTTGGACAATTGTAGACAAAAATGTAGAGTCTCACTGCTTTTTTCTTCTTCTTGCGAATTCAATATTGCCCTAGAGGCCAAAAAGAATCTCTTATGTAGTGTGTAGTTACAAAATAAAAGATAAGAATACTTTAATGTCCGCTATTTGGGTAAGGCTCTGGGGTTCGGTTCGGTTTGCTCTCCAGTTTAAGTCTCAGCAGTTGCAACACCTTGTGGCTAGCAGACACCCATGATATTTACCCTGCTCTCCAGTTTAAGTCTCAGCAGTTGCAACACCTTGTGGCCAGCAGACACCCATGATATTTACCCAAAAAAATAATAATAACAAAGAAAAATATTGTTAATGACGTTAAAAACATAAATTTTATTAAGGTTAAATTGGAAAAGACACAAAATAATTATCAAGTTTTTATTTAAATGCTATTCCTCTTGTTTGGTTGAGCTTTATAGTATCATGCCACTATCTATGCCTTTTGATGTGAGGAGCAAGTTCACTTCTCAACATGCTCAATATGAGCCATCCAATTGAGCCAATGTGACTCAACTATTAGCTAGAGTTGACAATTATTATAGTGTTTAATTTTGGAAAAAGTGTTGTCCTAATCCATGACAGAAAAGGCAGCACCTCACCATCACAATTGCTATACAAAGGCAGCTACAATTTACAATTGCATCCATAGTTAATATTTTCCTGGCATCATGAAATATGAATACTCAAAACATAAAAAGTTTGATCCATGTTGCTAAATGAAGCATGGAAACATCAATTTTTCCTTTTGCTGGTAGATAAATAATCGAAGTTTTTTTTTTTATATATATATAGAATAGCGATAGTGTTTTATTGAGGGAGGATAGGTAATTAGTACAAAAATAGGGCTATGTCATCAGAATTTAAGCGAGTTTATCTACACATGAGAGCTCAATTGTCGATCTAACAAGATAGCCTTACACTCTCAATCGCAAACGGAAGAAACAACATTGTCTGCCATCCATAGATTACCCCCATCCCCATGTTGAATAAAACAACAGTGTGTATCACAATTTCCCACCACATTTTTTATCATGACACAAGACATTCATTATTGTAAAGAATTTATTGTGTCAACATTGAATGCTCATATTGAATAGAAAATAAGTGAAATTAAATCATTTTAAACTAAATTCAATGCATTGCAACCAACTTATTGAAGAAATCTTGTGATACCAAAAAAAATAATTAATCAACAATATGGTATAAATAAAATAATCAGCATTCGTGTTAAAAATAAATTTAAAATGCTTCTTATTTGTTTAAAAATAATGACAATGAAATAGGATCCATGTTACAGAAGTTAGGTAGATTTGTAATTTGCAACACGGGAAAGGGCAACTCTGGTTGGTTGGGTCGTATGCCACGGGAGTTAAAACTTAAAAGACAATAGTCAGAGGGCAAAGACGTCAATGCACGTGGGGCTAGTGAACTCTGAGTGATTCGGCAGTGAGGTTCCACGCCATCCGTGGGCCCCGGCAGTACTTTCATCATAAATTAGAGTTTTTTTTTAATGTTTACTTTGCGATGAAAGTTGGCTTCTGAAACCGAAAGGGCCCCTTCGAACAATAAAAAAAGAAGAAAGAAACTGAAAGGGCCCCACACGCACGTTTTATATTGCAACTCCATCTCTTTCCTTTACGTTTTTTGCTAATCCTAGAAGACATTGAAAATCTAATTAATAAAAAATTAATAAAAATATTTATGGTGAAGTATTAATCACAGTGGGAAACAGTGGACAGGGGCTTTATAATGACCCAACAGAAGAAGGCTGAAACGGCCAAGAAGGAAAATAACGGAAGTTTGCCACGTGGCGATCATGCAGTGGTTCCAGATATAAAAGGAATCCTTGGGGCTCAGGTAGGTGCAAAGCAGATAATCTTCTCTCCTATAATTGGCAAGGCCTTTTTAGAATTTTGTCAGACAATTATAGAGGACAGAAAAAAGAAAGAGACATGAACTTGAGAGATTTATTTGTCGATACTTGTTGTATTTTTTGTGAGCAGATTTGTGCGAACTGTTGAGATGCTTGATGTTAATTAGGTTAGTTTTTTTTTTTT